ATTATGAAGCAATACAAAACTAGTACAACCCTTCACTTTCTTAATTGTATTTATTGTGCTCTTTAAGGGCTTTATAGAGGAAGACACCATGACTTCTCCCATTATTTTGTTTTCTGTTGTTCTAAGTGGGAAATTTATTATCATTAATCCTTTATACAACACAGAATACTTAGCGAACACTAAATAGAATCAAGCAGTGCTAAATGTTTTATGACATGTATAATAAGAGATTTAATTGATATAATGCTTAAGTATAATTCTCTAATTTTTCACATGATGAGATAAAGAAATGAACTTTCTCATCCTTGGTCATGGAGTTTATGTGACTGGTTTAATAATGGAGCTAAACTCAGCAGAGTGCAGGCAGAATGACTTTATTCTTTTTGCAACTATTCCTGTAAAACCTCTCTATCACCTTGTTCATCACCTCTGAGTGAAATCATGGACAAGTCAAGTAGTTTTGCCAGGTACTTTAGGTAATAAGAGATATTCCAGTCACACACAAAAAAATTCTAATCTACCACCAAAATTTTGGGTTGTTCTCTCTCTCAAAATTTGTCCTTTCTCAGTTTGCACTTGTTTCAACCTTGGAGACTTCACAGTCAATGTCTTCTCTTTCTTGCTTTATCTACTTCCTTTCTAACTTGCAATAGCTGCTGTGGTTCCTTCCATGTTAGAGAAGTACAGGATGGAACAAGTTTTACTTTTAATCTGATGCTGGAGCCCTCCAAATGAGAGGGATGTCCAAAGTTTTCTCTGTCTGTGGGATATTCCCGTGGGCTCTTCAGAGTTATTTTCCCTAGGACTATATAACTAAAGTCCTCTGAATTAGAACATGCTTCTGTGTTTGTCTGTTCTTATTCTTGCCTTAAAATTTTCATCTAAGAATGTACATCTATCCTCTTCCTGATGGACGTTTTTCTTCTGCAGGAAACCCTCCAACATGTACATTTCAATGTAGCTCATGGTCAGTTTTTTCGTGGGACCCACATAGCACAGAAAGTTCATAGAAAAATGCATATACATGGAGGTGCATATCACATGCATTGTTGTCTAATCTTAAAGTTTTCAGGTATGACATGTGTTCCTTTTTGTTGTTGTCATTTTGCAGTACTGATATTTGAACTCAGGGTTTTGTGTTTTGCAAGGTAGGTACTCAACCACTTGAGCCATTCCCCCAGCCCTTTTTTGCTTGAGTTATTTTTCAGGTAGGGTTTTCCATTTTTCTCCCTGGCTTGGACCGTAATTATTCCACTTATGTTTCCAGCATAGATGGGAAGATTGACATGTGTTACCATGCCCAGATGGGGTCTTGCTTGAGAGGAGGTCTTGCTTACATTTTTTCCAGGCTGACTTCAAACTATGATCTTCCTGACCTCTGCCTCCTGAGTAGCTGTGACTACATGTGTGAATCACTGCACCCAGAATGTGTTCCCTCTTGATATGTCAAGTTATTCTTGTTCTTTAAAACCTCATTTGGCTGGAAATGAAAGGTGAGAAAAGGAAAAATCACAACAACTCAAAACTCTTTGTAAGAAAGTCCACATTCTTCAATGTCTCCAACATTTTTAGTGAATGATTAGCCTTTTCTTATATTGCCTTAGGATTTTAAACAAGCCAAGAGTGGCCAAAACTAGGTCATAATATGATCCTGTACAGAATAGATGGTCTGATAATATTGCATTACTTGTGGAAACTAGGAAACAATATAAATCAATAAACACATGCAAGTGATGATAGATATCATTGGTTATTTGCCTATAATATTCCAAGCAATGGACAAAACACACATTACTTTATTAAATCCTTATACCAATCATGTCAAAGAAGTCATGCCTGTTATTTTACAGATGAGGGAATTAAAGGCACCAAGAGATTAAGAAACTTTCCCAAGATCAAGATCAAATAAGTAGTACCTGTAAGAATGCACATTCAAACCAAGTCAGGGTTGCCTAGATGTAAAATTCCTGCTCTTTATACTAGATTGCATGGTTTCTATTGTGCAATATGCTGAATAATTTTACTGCATGTGTCTCATATATTAATGTATGTAATTATCATCATATATGTCATATATATGTATGCATATTTATATGTATGTATGTACATACATATAAAGAATTGGAGAGCCAAGACTGATTCAGAAGGTTGAAGGAGATTAGATGACAGGGAATATTTGGACAATTGAAATATCTCTGACTTAACTTGTTGCAGGTAGGGGAGAGGGACAGAACACCAGGACAGATTCTCTCAAATAGTTACAGGAAAGGAGAAAAATTAGATAATAAGGGAGATAGAAAGTCATAAATCAGGAAGTAACCTTTTGTAGACTAGGATGGTGTGTGTGTGTGTGTGTTCAGAAAGAGTTAAAAAACCAATCACCAGGCAAGAAGATCGTGAGTTCCAGGCCAGCCAGGGCAATATAGTGAGTTCTCCACCAGCCTGGACTATAGAGCAAGGCCATGTCTCAAAAAGAAGAGACAGAGACAGAGACAGAGGGAGAGACAAAGACAGTGGGAAAAAGAGGAAGGGAGGGAGGGAGGAAGAGAGAGAGAGAAAGACAGAAAGAAAGAAAGAAAGAAAGAAAGAAAGAAAGAAAGAAAGAAAGAAAGAAAGAAAGAAAGAAAAAGAAAGAAAGAAAGAAAGAAAGTAATCTCCCTAAAACAGAAGTCAGAGCTCAATGCTTGAGTGGCTCAATGGATAAGACCTTGGTTCTATTCCCATTTCCAATAATTATTGATTTTATAACTTTGAAGATGCTTACTAAACTTCATTGTACCTCTGCTTTTTCATATCTAAAGTGGAAAAAAATATAAGAGCACTTATCTCCCTCATAGAATTGCTGTGAAGTTTGAAGGAAAAAAATATATGAGTATAGCATTTAATACATTCCTGGGAAGTATGAAGTGCTCTGTAAAAAGTAGATGTTATTGTTATTGTTACTACTACTACTGGTATTTTGATATTTTTATGAGAGTAAGCCTAAGTAAAAGATCTTGGCATTAGACTAGATTGGGCAGAACAATTCAGGCAACCAGAACATAGTGTCTGCCAAGATAACCATGGTGACTGCTCTATGAGCCATGGCTGCTAGATCACCATTTTGAGAGGTGGCTACTGTGTACACGTGGTTGGGCATGGCAGTGGTGGGGATGACTCATCCAGAGCAGGGCGCAGAAGATAAGGGGGGCCGTGCTCCTGAGGCAGTTCAAGGGACAGAGGTTGCTTTGCTGAGAGGAGGCATCAGCATAAAGAATTGTGAGCCCAGTAAGCTCTGCTGCTATCTCTCCGTAGATGTTGGCTCAGCTTCTCCAAGTACAAAACTTAAGTCCACGCTTTGGTAGTTGCTCATCTAATTCAGTTGCCATGCTTTACCCAACTGAATTAGATGGCAATCAGCTTACTCTTATTTAATCTGAATTGTTCCTATTACCATTTTCCTAGAGGAACATTGGTCAGGGGATAGATAGGTGGCAGAGGAGCAAGTAAGGGATGACAGGTAAATGAGGCTGGATGTTCACATGTTAAGTTCTGAACTTCTTGGGGAAGGACAGCACTGTTAATATGTGCCCAAGCAGACCAAACACTTCTAAAATCCTGAAGCACCGTTTTCCCCTCAGGCTGATCACTACTTCCGTTCTCAGCCATGATTCCACTTCTATTGTGGCCATCGTTGTTCTCCTAGCCATCAAAAATACAACTTGAAGCATATCTCCAACTCTACTGCAACCTCTCCCCAACAATCAGTTTCCAGGACTTTATTTCCTTGCATAACTTTTTCTTTCTATGTACTCCTCTTCCCTTTGCCATCACCCTGCCCAGGCCCTCACTTCATCATTTCTGCAGCAGCAAAGTAGCCACTGTCTCCTGTTTTTTATTCAGTCCATCCAGATAGCAGAACCACCAAATCATCCTTTTGTAGAAATGATTTCATACTGTCACAAAGGCCACATTTTCCCCAATGCCTTATTTCCTACTGCATGAAGTTCTGACTTTTCTTTTTGTCTTTATTGGTACTCTGTAATGTGCCCGATTGACATGGTAGCTTTACTTCACTTCTCCAACATTGCAGGCATCCTTTCACATCCTCCTCCATCCAAACAAATGCACCCTTGCTTTAATTCAGGCTGATGCAATCAGTAAAGTTTGCCAGTGTGCCATTAGTATGGACATCCTAATATACCGCATTTTGTTTAGGAAAAGGACACAAGGGACAGAGGTGAAACATCTGCTACAAGAAATGTGCTAGTTTTGCAGGTGAGAGCTCAGTATGATGTGGGAAGAAGAGTTTCTGGCTTGAAATAAAAATCATTTCACTAACATTTATGAAGCATCTTGGGTGGGTATGAAGGCAGAGGGGTGCTGTACCTGCCATGAAACAGTTTCTAATTAACAGGGAAATGAAGATGTAAACCACCAGTAATAAAATGCAGAATAAAGATGGAGGCTCAGTACAGCCTAATTTCTTTGTAGAAGGCATGAGGCCCTGTGACGCAGGCATGGGAAAATATTACCTTCATTTTCCAGATGACAAAACTTGCTTACCTGACTGAGAGTTTAAGTAGCTTGTTTATTGTCACAGAGCTAATAATTAGCAGATTAGGGTCTCCTAGATGGATGATCTTTTTAATACTTGACTCTGCCTACAACCAGCAGGTCTATGGAACACCTAGAAAAAGCAATTAAGCATGCTTGGGAACAGTGTGAGTGGGCATAGAGCTGTGAGGCCTCCCGGGCAAGGTGGCATTTGATCTGGGGATTAAAGAATCAAGGAGATTTCAATCAGAGAAGAAAGGAGATGAGGAAGAATATTCTAGAAATAAAGGAACTTCATGAACAAAGTCACAGTGCAGGATAAGAAGAGTAGACCAAGGGCAAGATTGCTTAGAAGTGAAGACTCCTCCTTCTTCTCCCCTGAGAAACTGAGATAAAGGAGGGGGAGAGGCTTAAGTGTCTCCCCACTGATAAACAGGCTTCACCCAGAGGCCAATAGTGTGTATTTGGGGACAGACGGTTACTGTGGCAGAAGTGCCCCTTCTCCAGAACCACTGGTCTGGGGCGGGGGCAGAAAGGAGGTCATTTCCTAAATCCCATTCCTCAGATTAAAACACCTAGAGCAGAACCAGGAAGGATTCGGGAGCCAGAGAGAAGCAGACTAATGGCAAGTACCCTGGAGAAAGTGCCTTCTGGAGCCAAGTGCCTGGGTGGGGTGTGGGTGGCTTTGTGAAAATGCCCTGCCACTCTACAGAGGAGGGAATGTGAGGTTTTCAGAACAAAGGGAAAGACAAGGGAGATGATGGGAGAAAGTGAGAAGAAATGGAGAATCCAAGGGAGAGGTTCATTCTGAGATCTATCTGGGGACATTGCCTTGAGATGAAAATATGTGTATGGGGGTAGGTGAATGGCAAGGTGTAAAAATGGCCTGGTGAAATTTTTAATGCATCTCCCTTCCTGAACCAGCTTCTTTCTACTCCTCTCTTCCTCTTTCTTTTTTCACTTCAGGAGGCTGAGGACAAAAGTGGGGAACAATTGAGAGGACAGAGTTCAGCCACTGGAATGGGGCCTTCCTTAAGCCAGGAGGTAAGGGTCTCTTCCATGACACTGGAATCATCCCTTCTAGCAATAAAGCCCCACCAACACTTATTGTTTGATCTTTACTCAAGAGAAGTGCTTTTTCATCTTCAAGGCTCTAAAGAGGGCTGGGTTTAAGGAAAAATAAGCAGAATTATCTCTTTGAAAAAGGACCTTAGTACTAACTTCTTCATTCTCTTTCCCCTCCACTCATTTTCTCCCTGTTCCTCTCTCCCAATCCCCTGTATCTTGTGTTTTTCACCTCCTGGTTCCTCCCACAGAGTTCTGCAGAAGAGGGGCTGCCCCCTGAGTGGAACAGACAGAGAGCAATGACCAGGAAGGTGCTGATAGCTATCCTGCTTTTTGGTCTGCTCCTTGGCTCTTCTCTGCTTTGGGTCTACATCTTCCGGAACTGTGGTCCTCGTAAGCAAGATCATGGAATATCCCAAGCTAGGCAACTCTCTCTCATGCTCCTGACTTACTTGCCCTGGCCTTCAACATTCCCCTGGGATCCTGACTTCTTCCTTCTTGAATACCATTCCAGGGCACTCAACAGACTATTTCCACCCTGTCTTTCCTTTGTCCCTCACTCAGAATCCCTTTGCCAGTCCCTTGGGGGAGCTCTTGTCCCTTTCCCTCTTCTCTCTTAGCTCTAAGCTGTTGCCCATAGGATCCTGTGAGACACCTGTGTGTTTGGATCTCCTGGCCCACTACCTGACTTCTGGGAACACTAGTGTGGCCCCCTGCAATGACTTCTTCAGCTTTGCCTGTGAAAAGACCAAAGGGACCAGTAATTCTTTACGGGCTCTTGCAGAGGAGAATAAGAGCCGACTACAGAGACTACTAGGTGAGAAAAGAAGGCTGGCAGATACTCTGTGCAAGTTGACTGAGCCTACAATTATCATGACTGCCCCAAACTTTGCATAACTGTAGAAGAACAACTGGTTTGTGAAATTCTTAATGAACTCTTCAGGGAATTTCCTGGATTTGTTTCTCCATGACTGTTCCCTAACACCTCAGCAATCTCCCTTCTTCCTCTCTTCTGATCTCTTTGTTCATTTTTTCTTTATTTAATCCCCATCCTCTTTCCTTTTTCTTTTATCTATGATTACTCCATTCTCTTCAAGTCCTCCTTTTTTAACAAGTTCTATCTTTGCAAATGTTCATTTTCTATCATATGCATCCATCAGCATCTCTTCAGCAACCTTGCACTTTATTTCTTTTCTTCATCACTTTCGTTGTCTAGCCTTCAAACCTGGTCTTCCAGTGCTTCCTTATAAACATTTCTCTCACTCTCCCACCATTTCCCAGTTCCTCTCTCTCATAATAGCCTCTTGCTTCTTCACTAAAATCTTTGCTATGGCAAGCAAGTGGAGCAGGAACAAGTGGGGAAATAGGACTGGATGATTAGAAATGATGGTAGAATAAGAGGCAGGATAGTGGGGTAAGAAGTGAGATGGAGTTTCATTACTGGTGATGTGTAAGGGAAAGAATAAGTTGTACAAAGGATATGCCAGAAGACAGACAAGTGAAATGGAGGTAAAGAATATTCCTGCACATAGGTCTACAAAGAAGGTAAAACAGCTGCCAGATATGAGAGGAAAAACAAGAGGAAGAACTGAGGTCATCTAAGAGTTTGGAAGTAGGTTTCAGAAAGTTAGTGATGGGTGAAAATTTGGAAATAAGAACATATAAGATAGGCAAGCATTCCATTCCAAGAAAACCTGGAGAATGTGTTGATGGTATAAACTGGAATCTATACACCTTTTTAATGAGAAAAGAGTGGGAAGTAGGTCTTCTTTTTGTAGAGAAATAATTCATAAGGCATAGAGATGAAAAATAACATAAAATGCTCAGATATATTCTATTCCCCATAATGGTATGAAGAGATATCAGGGAGACTGAGGGGGAGGGTTAGATATTAGAGGGTGGATAATTTAGACAAATGTGAATTTGGATTGTTGTGTTTGTTTCCTGGAATCAAGGGGGTTGGGGAGGAGAGTTTGAACTAAGAGAGCCTTCCCATTTCTTCTCTTTCTAAACCTTTTCATCATATGAGTTTGCTTCCCTGAAATCTCTCAAAGTCCTTGGTTTCCTGAAGTTTTCTAAGTTCTTCATTCATCTTGTTCCTGCCTTCCGTTTCCACCCTTTCTCTATCCATATCCCACTTATTCTTGTCCTTTTCTTCCATGTCTTTTCCTTCTTTTTTTTTCCCATTTTTTAAAAAATCCTCATCATCTTTTTGCTGTACTTCCTCTCTCTGCTTTTATACTTCCATTAAGTTGATCTATTCCAACTTGGGCATTTCTTCCATTTTCCTCAATTGGGTCCCTCCTCTTCCTGTTGGTGAACTTCTCTTTCTTTCCTATAAGCTGTCTCCCACTTTTTCTGTTTGTCTCTAAACCAGTCTCCACTCTTAATTCTCCCATGTTTTCTTTCTAGAGGCCCCAGGATCGTGGCACCCAGGCTTTGGGGAGGAAAAAGCCTTCCAATTCTATAACTCTTGTATGGACACAGATGCCATTGAAGCTGCAGGGGTTGGTCCCATCAGAGAAGTTATTGAGGAGGTGAGGAAAGTTGGGGTATCAACCTAACTCACAGGACCAATGCATGCTTGGGGCTGCTATTTTTTCCTAGAGTGTGGGATCCCAAGTTCTAGGAGGGAGATGGAAATGGTAATACCCTGTGAAGAATCCCTAGGGTGAGAATAGGGAAAGAAGTATAAATGTGGAGCCTTAAAGGGATCAAAGGGCTCAGAAGTCTGGAGATAGAAGCTATGAGAGGAAAGAAAAATCACGACAATGAGCCATAGGTGTCACAGATCCCTATGTTCAACACTGTCTCTCTTCTTCCCAGCTTGGAGGCTGGAACATCTCTGGAAATTGGACTTCCTTAGACTTTAACCGAACTCTGAGGCTTTTGATGAGTCAATATGGCTACTTCCCATTCTTCAGAGCCTATCTGCAACCTCATCCTGTTCTTCCACACACACCAGTCATCCAGGTGAGGGATGAACTGGCAAAACCACAGCTGGACCTGTGATAGCCTGGACTTTAGGCTATCATCTCTTAGAGGAAAACTTCAGGCTGGGAGATAAGAGGAATGTGCAATGTAGGGAACAATCCTATCTTAAGGGAACATTATTTCTGTGAGAGCCAGGGACACTAGGTGGGGGTGAGAGAAGGAGCAGCAGGGCCAGTTCTGGGAAGATCGCAGCAGTTCAAGCCTTCCTTATTGCTAATCTAGATTTCTTCTAGACCTCTCAACTAGTCTCCAGGATTGTCCTCCTCTTATTTACCTGTGATTTTTGCTAGAGGGACCTTTCTAAACAAAAGGCTAATTATGCTATTGTCTGTTTAAATGCCTGCCATTTTAATGGATTACCAGGTCATCAAGATATGATTCCTAATCTTTAGCAAAGCTTTGCACAGTTCATGATCTGACCCCTACATACTTCTCTAACCTTATCTCCTACCACGTTCCTTGTCTCCCTTATACTCTAGGTTCTACTAACTCACATGTAGCTGTAAGAATATTCCTCCTTTTATGCATATGCTGATCCTTTTGCCTACAATAATCCCTCACACTCAGCCTGGAAGACTCTAACATGTTTTCAAATGTTGCCTTTGAGTATCTCTTCCAGTAAGTCTTCACTATTATCTTAGTTATGAATTAGGTGAATTCCTTTTGTCATTCTATTTCCTCATGCTTTCAGCATTTAAAACTCTTGAGTTGAAGACTGTGGGCCTCCTAAGAACAGGCAGCTAGATGTCCTCTTCCTCAAGCAGATAGCAGCCCTCACCAGGTGTTTATTGAGTGAGTAAATAAATAAATGGTGGAGCCATTACTAGTGTGGTAAGCAAGGGAGTGCTATATGTTTCACCTTTAATCTAAAAAAATTCCACAACTTAATAAGATTGTGGATATTCAAGAAGACCAAATAATCAGTATGAGGTATTCTAAAATTCAATTTTAAAGTGTATGCTAGAAATTTAACTGCTGTGGCATTTGGAGATTAGTTAAGATCTAAACTGTTTAAGGAAAGGTTCAGAGAAGAGAACATGAGTTGACTTTTCAAGTATGGTGAAGGTGAGGCTAAAAGGCATTAAAAGAGAAGCATGGAAATTCTAAGCTAAGGGAAGTACTTGGAGTGTTGTGACTTCATGGAGGAGCCAGGGTAAACTGGAATGCAGTAGGAAGAAAAACAAGGCTAAGAATATGAGGTTGGACCTAATTATTGCTGACTTAGGAAGCTAGGAAATGTTGATAACTACTGACATACTAGAAAAAAAGAGGAGCCAGTGAGGCCTTTCAAATATTATGATAGTGGTATAGAACTGAAGTATTCAGCTGCTTTGGCAATCATCTTAAAGGTACTGAAGAATCTAAAATTTTGAGGTTCTGACATAGTGGTAAAAATAGAAAAAGAGTCAGGGACAAAGATACAGGCAACTTCATCCTAGTGGTAGTGGTCTGAGGCGTTTTCAGAAGACTTGAAGACTGAATATAAATAAAGGAGATAGAGGAAACACTGAATGACCATAGGATTGGTTTGGTACAAGTGGAAGGAAAGTAGTTATCATAAGCTCAAGTCTGAATGGGCTCTTGGGGGCTGAATAGGAAAGACAGAGTCCATGAGGGGCTGAGACAGAAGGAGAAGAACAAGAACAGTCAGGGAGGTGGGAGTTGGATCGGAATTGATGGAGCCATAAAGAAAAAGGGAGGAACTTTAGGAAGAAGGGTCATTGTTGATTCCAGAGATTTCTGAGATCATACAATAAGGAATGGGATGGCACCATTGAAAATCTGGAGGTAGTTTCAAAAGAGAGGAATGGATACAGTTTGTATGGAGTTCAGAAGGGAGATAAGGAAGTTGAAATAATGGGCACAGATGCCTCTTTTCTCTTTAAACTTTGGGCCTTAAAATAGACAAAAAGGTCAAGTGGAAGATTTTCTGTAAAGGAACAGAGGAAGAGTATAGAGTTCAGGATGGAGGAGGAATATTGCAGGAGATAAAGGAAAGGGTAGAAGCAAGGATCTTCAGAATCAAGAGCACAATAGGACTAGAGCTAAGGTGATCTATGTGTGGCATTTGCCTGGGGTGCAAAATTTAAGAGTGTCCCCAGTACTTAGTATTGAGGTAAATAATATTTAGTGAATATTCATAAAGATATCAGTCAATGCAGAAACCTACCATGAGCAAGTTATCACATTTTTGTTTATTATGTACTTTTAAAATTATATTTTTAAGGTGGAATAAAACTATTATGGACGTCTTTGAAAATACTTACAATTAAAAATAAACTATGGGCAACTTATGGGGAAATCATGATAAGCACTTTGTTTTCTGAGTTTTAAGTACCTCTTAAATACTGCACCTGAGATTGAAGGATCACCTTCCTTACCCTAGAGATAATCTTGGCACAGGGAATGACATCCTCCAAAATGCTGATTATCATGCTTCTCTCTGGCTGAGCATTCCCAAACTGGTTGTAACAGCTGTGATCTTTTGGCATTTCCATGTATGGACTCCTTCCCCATTCTCTCATCCCCAATCCCTCCCTTTCTTTGTAATCTTGCTCCTTCTCTGTTGGCCTTTCATTCCCATCTCCCCCCAAGATGTCTTCCATGGTACCTCCTACCTTCCCACACCTGCCCTCTTCATTCCCCATGCTCCCCATTTCTCTCCAGTCTCTCTTGTGTCCAGATAGACCAGCCAGAGTTTGACATTCCCCTCAAGCAAGAGCATGAACAGAAGATCTATGCTCAGGTAAGATGGTGCACAAAGCCCTGGCCTCTGAGACAAAGAGAAAGGCAGGGGGCTCTGGTGCTTGTGACCATGGATGTCCTCCTCCAGATCGTGCGGGAATACCTGTCATACCTAAATCGTCTGGGAACCTTGCTGGGAGGTGACCCAAGCAAGGTGCAGCAACATGCCTCCTTGTCCATCTCCATTACCTCACGGCTGTTCCAGTTTCTGAGGCCCCTGGAGCATCACCAGACACAGGATAAACTCTTCCATATGGTCACTATTGATCAACTGCAGGTGCCTGGAACTGAGGGCCCAAGGACTGTGGGCATAACAATCTCTCTCTTAAACTATTCCCCTAACCTTTTAATTAAAGCATATCTTCTTCCTCTTGGTACCCTTAATTCCTCTCTATCCTTAACTTTCTCTGTCCCCAGTCCCTCCCTCAACACACCCTTCCCCACTCCCAGTCAAACCCAAAGAGAAGCCCTTTCCTCTTCCTCCCTCTTCCTTTCCTCTTCCTTTCCTTTTCCCATTCAGCTTTGTATCCTTCCTCTAAGGAAATGGCCCCTGCCATCGACTGGTTGTCCTGTTTGCAAGCAACATTTACCCCGATGTCCCTGAGTCCCTCCCAGCCCCTCATGGTCCATGACCTGGACTATTTGAGAAACATGTCACAACTGGTAGAAGAACTTCTGCTGAGTCACAGGTTTGTCCAGGTGGGATTGGAAAGACAGGGGGATAAAAGGAGAGTCTCAGGACACATAGGTCTCAGGGACAAACATCACCATGGATGAGAGGGACCTGCTACATGTGAGGATAGAAAGGGTATGGGGTGGATGACACAATATAGAATTGAGGAAACAAGAAGAATGCAAGGTGTGGGAGCATGGGAAAGAGTAATATGAAATGAAGGACACAGGTGTCAGATAAGATGCAGGGTCAACCCAGATTAGAAATCAACCTGTAAAGAGCCCCTGCACTTGAGATGTTGGAAAGCCTGACAACTGGAGACAACTGAAGGCATTTTTTTCTTTTCAGTAGCCAAGGGCTGTGGGAAGGAGGAAGAGGCACATGGGGTGAGGAGATAAAGGTGGTGAAGTCTTAGGATGCTCTGGGGGAGAAATTTGAGAAGGGCCATTCTCCGACTATGTAGGAAGATCCTGGAGCCCTTGTGGGAAAGAATTTCTAAGACCATTGCGCTGATATAAGGAAGTCAAGTCATGGGTACCTGAAGTGATTCTATGCTGGGCTCTCTGCTTTTTCTAACATTCATATGGCACCCCCAAAGACAGTGGCCTTCTCTCAGGAGCTTGGACTTAAGGTCCTTTATAGTAACACAGTGGCAACAGCACCTAGAAAACCTTTTTTGAGGGAAGCAAAAGAATATTCAGGTGGGCTCCAGCAACTTTACATCAGGATACTTGGTAGGAGAGCTGCCAACAGGGCAAGGGGAAGTCACAGAATCCAGCTTTGTGTTGCTTGGGGGATATACCTTAGATGAACTGAGGTTTCTTGGTTGTGGGAATAGATGAATCTTTTTGGTTAAATCTGAGTTCAGCCTTCATCTAGCCAAGGTCCTTTCCCCCCTGTAACTTGAAAAGGCTGTCTCTTTATGTGGTCCCTTCTATCATTCCCCAGCCCATTACAAAAAAGGCTCCTATTGACTTGTTTTCATGTCACAGGTTGTTCTTTGTAAATACAGAGAAGGGGTGGCCTCCAGGAGAATTAAGGTGACTTCACACAAGTTGAATTTTCATGGAGTATCTCCAGATTCCTGAGCTTTATGTGGGGTCACTTTTGTTTCCATAGGGATTTTCTGCAGAGTCACATGATCTTGGGGTTGGTTGGCACCCTTTCCCCAGCTCTGGACAGTAAATTCCAGGAGGCACGCAGAGAGCTGAGTCAGAAACTACGGGAGCTGACAGAGCGACCACCTATGGTGAGAAGAGAGGGTGGCGGTGTATTTTCTTGATTGGGGCAAATATTGGTGTATGTCTATGAGGAAAGGGGCATAAGACTAGAGACCCCTATAAGTCTAGGCTCTCCATGGAAGCAGTCAGGATGGGAAGACAGAGTAAAATTTGAGAACCAAGCTACCTTTAGGTACATAGCTCCTGGATACCTCTGTGACCTTTTGCTGAGTATTAAAGCTCAGATGTAAAACTAAAATTATAAAGGATGACTCTTCCTTTGACATCACACTTAAACTATTTGTTCGGTTATCCCGAGATCTATGATTTGAGGACCTGAGTGTAAGATTTGCTGAGATGAGAGATAGATATGGCAAGCAGTGGCTTTCCCTCTGTGTAGATGATTTCATGTTTAATGCTCAAATGTGCATGACAAAGAGTTCATCTCTGATCCAGTGGGATCCACTGGGTCACACATAGGCTTTGTGGTACAGATCCTAAAATATCTGAGAAGGCGCCCGTGTAGGAAATGTGTCTCACTAACCAGTGTCTACTGCATTATCTAAGATGCAGAGATGCTTTGTTAGTGAGAAACTTGAAATCCTAGGTTAAGTACATGTAAATGCAAGTAGAGAAGTTTACTACATTGGATATATCCCAATCTCAGTGAAGGCCTGCTTATAGATTGAAAATCACACTTTTCTTATTAATTTGTTGTTCATTTCTCTACTTCACAGAAACCTGAAAATATCTGTGAAATACTGAGAGGGAAAATGTATTCACAGAGATTGGAATGGTTGTTGCTTATTGGGAGCTTTAAATGTGTTAGACATTTTCCTAAAACCTTCAGTCTATTGGCTGACTTAAACTTCAAAATTCTATGAGTTGCCATGGATTTAATTTTATCTTTGTTTTAAAGAGGGTGTAATAGTTATTAAGGAACTTGACCATGGTAAAATAGCTAGAATGTTGTAGAGCAAGGATTTGAATTCTGGTAGTCTGGATTCATGGTCTGTGTGCTTCCTCATTGTTCTTTAGATCACTGTTTATTAAGGGCCTATACTCAAGGGGGTAAGTTCCCAAGTTGCTCCTGCCCAGTCTATCTCTTGATCAGATGAAGCAAAGCAGAACCCTAGCTCCTCTTAGTGGGGTTGCTACAAAATTCCTGGCAACAAACAGCTTCCTGTAAATCCAAGGACCATGGCCTGATGTCATGTCTGGCAAGGTGTCAGAGTGCCAACAGTGATACTCATGCTTAAAGAATGTGGAAGGCCCACAAATCCTGAAATCACCATCATTTCTCTTAGGGTAAATAATTGTCCTTGGTCATAAAACCTAAATCAACAAATACTTGCCAACAAATAGTGATGTGACCTTGGAAAATCCACTTTACTTCATTTTCTGGACCAACTGTACAAAATATGATAGATATAATACATAATAATGATAATAATAGCTGACACGGTATATACGGTATTACGGATAAATAGATGATAGATAGACTGATTGATGACAGAGTCACTGTTTCACCGTCAGGCACTGTATTTGCAGTTAGCAATGATTATTTTATTTAATCCTCCTAGAAATGCTCTGAGGTTTTTAATCCCCATTTACAGATGCAAAAATAGGCACAGAAAGATCAAGTAACTTCTATAAGATCACCTTGTTCCTAAGTGAATAAAGAGATTCTAAAATCAATTTACTTGGCTCATGAGGCTATGTTTTTAAACACAGGATTAAGAAATGCATGTGTGCTATAAACACTGGGTTAACAAACCTTTCTATACAGGGATGGATAGTAAATATTTTTGGCTTTGCATTCTGTATGGTTTATGTCATCACTACTTGATTCTGTCCTTGTGGCACAAGGGGCATAGCTGTGTTCCTAGAGGACTCTGATTTAGACAACAGATACTCTTGGGGTTCCCAAGATAAGGCAATTGGGGGGCTTGAATATCATTGGAATATCTTTGTAGAAGGTAGACTTGAGGTATATCTAGAGAGGGAAGGTGTTTTCTGACATATATCATCATCTCATTGGGACAGTGAACATGGAGGATCCTTCTGGTAAATATGACTAAGGAGAGAGGATGAGGCTTGCATGCAAGGCTGTGCCCAGTGTTGCTGCTGGAGCATGCTCTGGGTGTTTGAAAACTAGCAACTAAGCCAGAGAAACTGTAATAGAGCAAAAAGGACAATAATAAAGTAGAAATCAGAGAGGGAGGGAGAAAACTGTGTAGGGTCTGCTAGGTCACAATAAGGACTTTTGCTTTTCTCTGAAATAAGGACGTATAAAATAATTTTCTGTTTTATGTTTTAAAGAACATATTGTAGGATAAGCAATGGTGCTTCCTGACTCATGATATATAAGGAAGAAGAGAGTGAGTAATAATAGGGACATGCAGAATAATTTTCTGTTTTAAAATTGCATATTGCATGGTAAGCAATGGTATTTCCTGACTCATGATATATGAGGAAGAATGGAGTCAATGACAACACCGAAATTTTGGGTTTGATTTGACCATTGGGTTTGGCTCTATCCAATGGTCATTGATTATAGATTTCTGACCACATTTTTCTGAAGCAATTTTAATTTATAATGTCTTTATTCTAAAACACTGCTAGGTCTCATTATCTAACCATCTTTTGTTGATTTTGAATACATAGTCAATGGAAATGGCTGTTAAGCTAGCTAGGTCTTTTTTATGAAACTTATAAAGCTGCATTTTAGGAAGTGAAAGCAGGATTTAACATTTGTACCTGTTAAAAAATGAACTATTTATATTTAGTCCAACATCTCAATTCATTCAGGTATTTTAAACCTTTGCTTCAACAGTCCTTCCTCTTATCTTTCTTTTTAAATCTTGGGTTATTTGCAACTTTATTCTGTATTTCTTTATCCAAACTACTGTCAAGATCCTGAAGGGGGAAGGGCATTGGTTGCTACTACTAAAGACTTGATTCATTTATTTGATATTTATTGAGGTCCTACTATATGCCAGAAACTTCTCTAGGCATTGGGGGTACAAGCAGTGAACAAAATAGGCAAGCATTCTTTTCTTCAGGTATTTATATTCCAGTGGAGGAAGAAAGAAAATGAACTAAATAAAGTATATTGGGTAGTGTCAGAATAAATCAAAACAGCAAATGAAAAAGGGGAATTCGAGGTGGGGAGCAGTACTGATTTTCAGTAGAAGATCAGCAAAGGACATATTAGCTCTGAATCATTCATCACTAATGTTTTGTGTGGTTCAGCCAAGTAAGAGGTCACTCATATTGCATTGTCATTCAATATCAACTGCACCACCTGATTCACAAGAACTTAATCTGTGGTTTTATCAAATGTCTTCCTGAAGTTAAGATAATGCCAACAGAGTAGCATTAGAATATACAGAGTAATGCTAATTGAATTCCAGTGGAATTTGGAATATATAGAGTACTTTCAAGATAGAATATATAGAGTACTATTTCACCTGACTCTCAAATCTGTAGAACAGGCATTATTCTCATTTTTACAGCTGTTATAGCCAAATTACAAGGGTTTAAGTTCATAACCCATACTTGTAAATGCTGGATTCTCTGCTCAAAGGTAGTACTGTGGTAGGTCACTGAGAATAAATTGTCTATAGATATATTTTATTGGCTTTTAGAGTAATATACAAACTTTGAATTAATTGCCAATGTTCAAATATTAGGAGATGACATGCCAATATTCAGATTTCCAGTCCAGGAGTGTAAGCAAGCATGTGTGTGGGATTGGCAGTGCTGGGACAGTGACAATGTCTGACTTACAAAAGTGACACAGCTCACCTTGGCCTGGTGTACTCTCTCCAATATGCTGTGACCCTACCAAGCCCTATGCTTCTGATGTCAGATGTCAAGTTATGTTATCACACAGCCCCTAGCTGAGCCTGTGGCTCCTAGTCTTATATCCCACTTTAATATGAGTCTTCTAAAGGACATTTTTAAAATTATTTTGACATCATTTGTTCTCACTAATCCCACCCTGACTTTTAGTAGTTGTGCATTATTTTCCAAGTGTTCAAAAACCACTCCTTTGATAATTCCTTTAAAAATTTTGTTTAGAAATTAAGATTCCTAACTGACCTATAATCTCTAAATTCTGCTGTACCCCTATTGAAGACTGGTCAAATTTTTGGTTCCCTCCAGACTCTTGAAATTTTCCTTGATTTCTGTCATTTCTTTATTGTTGTTCATGGTTTGGAAGTGATATGTGCAATTTTTCAGTGCCCTAAAATGAACCCACTGAGCTTCATCATTGTGCATTTATCTTTTATATATTGGAGATTTTTTTCTCTCTTTCATCAATGTAGTTTACTCCATCATGCTATATCTTGAGAGATAGCAATGGTAGTGGTCTGGGTGGTGTTTATATTCTTGAGTAGCCAGGTCCCATTACAAAGGATATTGAATAAAGGGTCAGGCACCAGCCAAGGGGATCAGGAAGAGTCAAGAACTAAGAGATATTAAAAGGGAGGGCAGATCCACACTGCCAGGATCCAACAAGTCCCTTGCCTGATGCTGCTTGCTGCTTCCCCAGTTATATCAATAGTCAGAGGAGAGATATTTCTACATCTAAGCCTGTCTGCAGTATGAAGGATGCTGCAGGCAGCCAACAGACTCTCTATTTGATCCAGTCATTGCAATCAAATTCAGATCTCCCTTCAGTCATCATTTACTTTTCCCATTTATGATGCAGTATTCTAAATAGCATATCATAGAAAGAGTCTAAATCCCTTCTTCTTACTAGAAAAGACACGAGCAGACCTTACCATGTTAGGAATAGAACACATAAATATAGACAGTCATGTCTGAAAAGTCCACAACAGGCAGGTCTTGGACTTTCCTTTTCACTGCTACCAATTTGGCCCAACTTTTTGTTCCTTCTAGTGGGATGTCCATATTCCCTTCTCTAATCTTGGGAGAAGCCCAGATCATGCTGAAAGCATTAATGGCAACCTCCCTACCTTCCTAGCTAGCAGATCTTTGGGAAGTAAGTTGCAGAGATAGTTTCATGTGTCCATCATCCAACCCTTATTAGCTTCTTCTTCTCTTCCTCTTCCTCCTTCTTCTTCCTCTTCTTCAAGGTTTAGCTCAGCAACTCTAGGCTGCTGCTGAATCCTTTCCCCTGGCTCCTTGAATGTTTCTCTTTCCTCCCTGTGTCAACTCTGGGCTTACCCCTGGTCAACTCTGAAAAACCATTCAAGCCCACCACTGAAATATTCCCAAGCATCTTGTTTTGTATTCTCTGGGCACTACAATTAGAAAGACATGTCATGGTTCTCTCAAGCTGCCAACAATAGCCTCTGTTGAAGTCTTCCATCTTACGCTATTTTTTCCCCTGATTTGGTTGAAAAATGTCACAGCTCTCTGAATTAGGCACTTAGTTTTCTTTCCCTTCTTGTAGCAAACAATATAGCATCCAAAGCCCACTTTTGCTGGTGGTTTTCTCCTCTTTAATGTCCACTTGAACAGTGGGCATGGGCAATGATGCAGGAAGGGAATTACTGTCTTCAATTTCCATTTGAGCAAAGAAGTGAAGGAGGGTGGAGTCATTGCTGAGACCCCAGGGCCAAGTGTGTGGTGGGAAAATGGTGAGGACAGAGCCCTTGGTAGGACCAGCTCACTTCAGCTTTGTCTCTGCAGCCAGCCCACCCACAATGGATGAAGTGCGTAGAAGAGACAGGAGCCTTCTTTGAACCTACCCTGGCAGCCATGTTTGTTCGTGATGCCTTTGGCTTAAGCACCCAAAGTGCTGTATGTGAGAGCTCTCCCCTGCCCATGTCCCTCCACCCTTCCCACCCTGTGTACCCTGCCCTGGTTCTGTGGACTGTGCCCTTCTCAGTACTATCAGGCAGTAGAGAGAGGTCACTGAAAGGAGAACCCAGAGGCCAGCTGAATCCCTTGGGCAGCACAGTTCAGCTACAGGACACAAAGTATACAAACATGCACTAATTTGGACACGTCATCTGATTTTCCTGGTATTGTGTTTGTTCAACCATAAAACGAGAAAATCAAACTGCTTAACTTTTAGACTCCTCCCTGTTTATCTACAAGTTTTCAACAACATGATACAATATGAGCATGGGATGACGTAGAGTGCAAATTACTGAATGCTTTGTGAATTTCTGCCACATGTCAGGATCTCTTATGAGCACTTTGCATGAACTACTTGATTTAATTCCTATATCATCCTGATTTTATAAGAGAGAACTTAGGCACAGAGAGGTTAAATAACTTGCTCAAAGTCAAGTGGCCACCAAATAGCAGTGTCAGGGTTATAACTCAGGCAGTCTGATGCCAGAGCCCAGGTTTCTGATATTGTCACTCATTTTCTTTCACAAATAAAGGCTACATGTACAATGGTAGATGACTGAGAAAGCAGGGACTACACACTCAGGCTGTGAAGCTGGGAAGGCCCCAACTTATAGGGAGGCTGAAAAGCTCAGGGAAATGGAGAAATACATGCCTTAAGAGGGAGGGTGTGAGGACAAGAGCCCTGAGAGCAGATGGGAACAATAACCCTCTCTCTTCTCCTTCTTCTGAGTGGTTTACCTGGCCCAAAGAGTAAGGACCCGTCAGGTTGAAATCTCCCCACAGTAAGGAACCAACTTCCTAGTCCACCCTCAGAGTGGCCAGCTCCCACTTCCCTCTCCATGCTTGGAATTGCCTTTCCAACTCCACAGACCTTTGTACCCTGGAGGTTTGTGGTACACTGGGAAATAGCCCTAACTACTTCCCACTGTCTTCCTGAGTTCTTCCCCCTTCTCTGACTGCCGCTTGTGCCCAGGTATCTCTCCGGGCCAAGGTCCCTTCCTAGGGTTAGGAGCTGGTCCTGATTTTGTTTCCCCCTGCCCCACAGGCTATGAAATTATTCACTGAAATAAAGGATGCCCTCATCGCACGCCTCAAAAAGCTTCCCTGGATAAGTGAAGAGACCCGGAAAGAGGCGCTGAAGAGGGTAAAGCCAGAAGTACAGGTCACTGTGGCAATGTTTACAGGGTAGATGGAGTAGAGCACTAGATCAAGAGATAATTATGGAGGGGAGAGAGCCAAAGGCGCAGAGCGCACACAAAGTACCAAAGCCACACTGTACACATTCTAGGGACAGTGTTGAAGGCTCGAGTGATCCAAAGGGAATGCTAGGCTCCTACCACTTTTTGTGTCTCTTCCAGGTCACTCAACTGCAAGTGGAGATGGGAGCCCCACAATGGGCCTGGAAATCAGACATGGCCAGACAAGAATACAGTGATGTGGGTCCCTGCCCTTTCTTCCTCCTCCTCAGTCCTTGACTACTTCTCACCTCCCGGCCCCACAGCAAGTCTTTGCCGGGCAATCTGTTTTCTCTGGGTGATTCTATCCAAACACTTCCATGGCCTGCTGCTGGCTGGCTCTTACTGGCAAAAAAAATAGAAAATTTAATTTTCAGGTTACGAATGCATGTACGTGTGTGTGCACATGTACACACACACTCATGCAGCATGATGTACCTGTGTGTGTTTATGTGTGCTCATGCATGTAAGTCTGTCTGCACCAATGTGTGGCAATGTCAAAGCAGTGGCCTCCACTAATTTGTGGCCATCATGTTCAGGGCTTATCTGTTTGGGTTTAAATGTTCCCTTCACATATGTCCTGCCCATCTGTACTTGTCTCTGTGTATTCCTACCTTCCCCCAGATACAACTTGGACCCAGCTTTCTGCAGTCTGTCCTGAGCTGTGTCAGATCCCTCTGGGCTAGAAACATCCGGAGCTTCCTGCAGCCTTTTCCCCACCACAGGTATGAAAGAAGAGGAGGCAGATACTCATTCCAGAGATGACCCATGTATAAATTAGTAAAGAAAAGTGATAATGGTTGGGAACACCTGTGTATGCCTTGGAGTAGCAATAAATGATGGAGCTATTCGATCTCCGCACAGATGGCGGGTACCCCCCTGGGAAGCCAATGCCTACTATTCAATACCTGACCACGTGGTAGTCTTCCCAGCCGGCCTCCTCCAACCTCCATTTTTCCATCCTGAGTACCCAAGGTATGGCCATTCTGTGAGGGTGGGCAGAGGGTTTCTCAAGGAGGATTAACAGGCGTTACGATGGATGGGACCTGTGGTTGGAGAATTGGTGTCAAAAAAAGATTCTGGAGGTAAGACAAGTTCTTGTCTCCCTAGTGCTGTGAACTTTGGTGCTGCCGGCGTCATCATGGCCCATGAGCTCTTGCACATCTTCTACCAGTTCTGTGGGTAGCAGGGGACATTGAGAGGTGGGGCTTCAGGAACCTTAAGGGAGGACCTGAAAAGAGGCCTAGAGGGGAGAGGAAAGTTATTTAAGGGTTGCAGGTGGGACCAGTCCCAGAAATTGTCAATGTTCCTGGGAGCCAGATCAGTCTGTGATACCTCTTACGTCTCAGCCACCAGTTCATTCTCTTGTTCCATTTTCAACAGTACTCCCTGGGGGCTGCCCAGCCTGTGACACCAATGCCTTAAAGGAGGTACTTCTGTGCCTGGAGCGCCATTATGCTGCCTTACCATTACCCAGCAGAGCTTCTTTCAACAGCTCCCATACACTCCTGGAGAATGCCGCAGATGTGGGGGGGCTGGCCATTGCATTCCAGGTATGTCAAGGGTCACGACCTATTTTTAGCAGTGGACTAGAAACCCTGTCCTTGAGTTGGCCTTCCTCTATACTCCATGCAAACATAGTAGCATATCTTTCTACCTTTTACATCTCCTCTGAACAGACAGCAACTTGGAGATTCCTCTCCTACCCCACAGATTCCCCGACCTTCTAGGGTATCTGTAGGTCTTCTGGCAAGAACTTATCTTCCGGCTCAGACCAGTGTGTCAGTGCACTGGTGAAGGAGGCCTATGAACTTGTTTGCAGTATTGTGTAGAGGGCATGGGACTTCCAAATGCCCATGGGTTTGAAGCCTAAAGGCAAATCTCCATCCCATTTCATGCCCAGGCATACAGCAAGAGACTATTACAGTACCATGGGGAGACTACGCTGCCCAGCCAAGGCCTCAGCCCTCAGCAGCTCTTCTTTCGAAGTTATGCCCAGGTAGGTAGCTGCCACCCTACTTGTGATGCTTGCAGGACCTTCCTCTATTAAAGACTCTCCCCACAATCCCCCCAGCCTATTGCCACAGTCCTCCTGTTATCCTTTCTCACTTGTCCCCCTGTAATCATCCTCCAGATCACTATAGATTCTTCAGCCAAATATAGCAACCCACTCCTCCCTCCCTGCTACCACAAAAAAGAAAAAAAATCCCTACTTCTAAGTCCCTCCATGCAATGAGCCCAACTTTTTTGTCTTTCTTGTCCCAGAAATACAGACTGCTTAAAGATGAGTCGACAATAGGCTAACTCTATACGCGTTCCTCTTCAGAGACCTTACCCCAGGAGTGGTCCCCAAGTGACATAACTCAATAACCTTGTGCTCCCTCACCAGGCATGATTCTCAATTTATCAACACACAGAGTCCCTCATGGAGCTCCTCCATTAGACCTCCACCTCCATTCCCGTATAAATGTTATTATTACATGGTCCAGGCCCTCCCCCACACTCCTTGCGTCAGATTAAATGACCTACAAATGGCAAATACTTCATGTGGCCCTTGACCATTCTGTTCCTGCTCCCCTCTTTATTTGCTCCCTCTAGTGGTCCCCTAGTTTCCATGTCTGCCCTGTCTTTTTTTTTTTTTTCCAATACTGGGACTTGAACTCAGGGCCTACACCTTGAGCCACTTCACCAACCCTTTATTGTGAAGGTTTTTTTTTTTTTAAGATAGGGTCTCATGAACTGTTTTCCTGGGCTGGTCTTGAACCTCTTTCTCCTGATCTCTGTCTCCTGAGTAGTTAGGATTACAGGTGTGAACCTCCAGCATCCAGCAACCCTATTTAAAAAAAAAAAAAAAACCTATCAAAGAACCTATCAGACCTGCTCTGCTCCTTAACTTTCCTTGGCTGCTCTTCCTTCTCTCAGGTAATGTGTAGAGAGCTCAGCACCCAGGATCCTCAGGACACTCACAGCCCTCCCAGCCTTCGAGTTCATGGGGCCCTCAGCAACACCCCTGCTTTTGCCAGACATTTCCACTGTCCACGTGGTACCCTCCTAAACCCCTCCATCCGCTGCCAGCTGTGGTAACTTGGCTACAAAACAGACCAAACTGCAGATGTATGGACTTCCCTGACCCCATCCGGAGAGCCAGGGCAATATCTCCTTTCCCTTTCTGTTTCAACAATAAAAGTCGGCACTTTCCTCCTATCATCTCTTAATGGTCTTTCCTGCTATGTTCTATTCCTTGAAGTCAGAAATGATAAGAGGTGAAAAGCCAGGAAGGGCTCCATGGACACCAGAAAAGGAAAGAACTAATGATTGGTGAGCTGGAAGGTCTGAAGGTCAGTCAGTGATCCAAAGGCTGAGCAATTAAATAAGCCAGTTAAAGACCCAAGGACTTAGGTTAAGTTTTAGAAAGCTGCTCCCATTTTTTCAGGTTTTGTTGCTATTTTATTTTTGCTGCCTCTTCTCTCAAAGTTACTGTTTTGGACAAAGGAGAAAAAGGGTGGGTCTAGTGTCTGTGGCCTGGGACATGAAGCTCTGGGTTGCGGCAATGGCAGTCTTTTCTGCTGCTGCACCCAAGAGTCAGGAAGGGGTGTATACATCCTTTGGGGAAGTCATTGCCTGAAGCTCAACTGAGAGAGGAGGTCAGAAAGTGATCATTAAGTAGAGGTAGATATCCAGTTCCTCATTCAGGAACCAGATCACAACCTCAGCCTCGATGTCCCTCATAAAAAAACCATTAGGCTGGCCAGGTTAAAGCAGAAGACTAGATTAAAAAGGTGGTCTCGGAGAGCTGCTGTCTCGGAGATCGTGTCTTCCTCTTGTTGGGCCATGTTAATCACTTGCCACAGCTCACCCACCGAGGAGGCCACAAAGTGCTCTTCGAAGTGCTCTTGGTCTTGGCCTGGAATAGGGAGAAGGGCAGGAATGGGCAGTCTTAATCCTGAATGGCTCCCACCCTCACCCTGGCTAGAATGGAGAAGAAATAAAGGTCTGAAGAAAAAGGGGGGTCAAAGGTATTTGGCCCCACTGCCTCACCCTTACCTCCATGAGAGGTAACGTTCCATCTAGAGGTCTTTTTTGATCTCAGTTCAACCACAGCCCCAACTCAAACACACACAAACTCCCATTTCTAACACTAGCTGCCTCCTCCAGAGTGTTACATTATTTGCAGAGTGAGAGACACCTTAAAGCATGAAGACAATCAAAGACCGTCTGCCTGGACAAACATTCATGCTCATCCCTGCAGAAGCTGCATGTTATTACAGCTGGCCTATGGGGTGCTCTGGCTAAGAACCCCTGCTCTAGACCTTTTTACATGACACTATCATTTCACTCTGATAACAAGAAGCTGGAATATTTCCATATTATAAGCTTATCCCAGATTCATGCTTGCCTAATCAGCTGCTGAAGTCTAACTTTAAACAGATCTGACCCTTACCTCCAGACTTTGTCTTCCTCTTCTCCACCTACCTGAAAAGGGCATTTTCTCTTTCTGGCTCTTGTCATCAGAGCCTGGGCTGCCCTTCTGAGATGTCACTCCCTTCACCCACAGCAACAGCAGGATGACTGCCAGGAATGCTGCCCTGCAGAGCTGGGAGTCCAGGGAAGTCATGGGCCTGCCCACCCGAACATTGGCACTGGCCCCCTGCCTCCCAGTACGCAGCAGGCTCCCTCGCCTCCCTTTCCATCCCTGTCCTAAGCCTTAACCTTTCCCAGCATCGTTTTCTCCTTTTCTCTTCCATAGGACCTTTGATTTGATGTGCTCTGTGACATCATAGCCATGGTTTGACCCTCATTCCATCTCACAGAGCATTCCATTGTCAGACAGGAGAGTGGCAAGTAGCCAGTAGGGTTTGGTGGAAGTTTCTAGAATGGCCATAATCAGTTATCCTGTAGACAATAACAAAAAGGACTTAAGAACTTGCAAAGCACATTCACATCCATTACATCATTGGGTCCACATAGCCACCAGCACTCCAAAATCATAGTATTCTGATACCCACTATAAAGATGAGGAAAACTGAGGTTCACAGAAAAAAGGATTTCCCCCACTCAAGATCACAGCTACCAACAGGCAGAGCAGAATATTAATTAGCATTTTTGAGTCAAAATATAACATCTTTCCACTATTCCAAGGAGCCTTTCTCTAAAGAGAGTGATTGGCTTAGATGATGCCCAGATTACATGTAAACAAGGATCCTTATAACCTGGGCATGTTCTTAATTGTCTATGTGAAATTTGGGTCTGTGAAAAACTGAGGATCAAGTGAGGCATGGGGAAGGATGAGAAAGGATACATGCTCTGTGTATCTGCAGGAGAGAGGGAGACAGAGAAAAAGGGACAGAGACATACATACACAGAGATGGAGAGAGACAGAAGTAGAAGCTGTTCTCTCCTCATCCTCCCCTAGTTTTTCCCCTTTTTCTATTTTCCTTTTTTGCACCTCCAGGCAAAAACATTCTCTTATTTTTCACCTTTCTGGATTTCTAAAGCACAGAGAAAAAACCATTACAGGCTCATCTCCAAGAGAAGAGGTAGTGTGGCAGTGAGTCCAGGATCCTAAATAATGACTCTGAAGAAAACCTGCCCTCATACCCCAATGCCTGTCTTGCCCATGAGCCTGGTGAGCACAGACCTGTTGGTTTCCTGAAAGAGAAGTTTGAAGGGTTGTGAAATGGGGAGGCAGAATGAAGAGCCTTCCCTGGCAAACTGAAAATAGACACAGACCATGAGGGTTAGGCAAGGTGCTGGCACCTGGATAGGTTCAGACCACTCCTACTGTCCATGCAAGCCATGCCTGAATGAAACACACAAACACTGGTGCAAAGACATATGAACAAATATGTACCCTTTCTGCAAGAGGGAATTGCAGAAATGGAAATGCACAAAGATGAGATTCCTTTGCAATTACACATGCTAGCAGGCATGCTCACAGGGAGGCTGTTCCACATATAGCAGACACACCTCTTACTTCCTGGTGATCCAAGTCAGGAGGAGTGGTACAGAAGGGCACTTAATGGTGGGGGAGGAAAGATTCAAGTAGGCAGTAACCTTCCCTACCCCTATCTTGTACTCATTGACCTGCAGATCAGAGGACAATGCTTAAATGGAAAAAATAAAATCATTAATCTCCTTCTGGCTATTTTGGGGGAGGAGCCTCTTGGTTCCCTGGCAGGAAAAGAAGCCATCTCCAGCTCTGTGGGTATGAATGGGGAGGGCAGACGCAGGAGTGGCAGGCTGGAGTGGAAAGAACTGGGTTAGACTGACCATCATTAACTTTTACCTCCTCACCATTCACCTGCCTGACTCCTAGTGTCCAATGAGGTAAATCTTTGCAGGAACTAGTAATTCCTTAAAACTTTTTTTCTTATTACAAAAGTATAAAATACATAAAAGTATCCAAAGAACAAAAAAAAAACCTTAATAATTTCACCATCCAAAGACAATAGCTACTAATGTGACATTAAAATGTAGTACTGAAATCTTTTTCCTAGATGCCTGTAAACATGTGGGGTGATGGTATATTTTCTAAAGATTGAAATCTAGATTTGTTTCCACCTCCTCTTTCCCACATCAGAAGTTGCTTTGCTGGAAAAGGTCTCTGGAATCTGAAAAAGCAGTAAAGTACCCCAAACTGAGCTGTTCTGTTGGTCACCTAGGAGGCTCCAGGAGACTGTGAGTCATCTTTGCTGGTGAAGCTGATATTTGTCCAAGAGAAGTCTAGAAATAGAGGAGATGAAAGGAAAACAGGATGGTAACAGAGACTATCACCAAGATGAAGGAGTGGTGGAGAGGAGAGCCAGCAAAGGGAGGAGATACTAGTCAAATCTTTGGTCTAGCAGCTGCATCAGGCAGGCCAACTTGGTACCCACGTAGGCTGCTGTTTTTGCCCCTCCCATTGAAGAGGACAATGCAGGCTGAAAAGGGCAGGGGAGAAACTGAAGACCCAGGAATAGGGGCCTGAACATCGGGCCATCACTTTTTTCCTTCAGGGACCCATGGCCTATGCCCTTAGTGGTGAGCCCCTGCACACCTGCTCTGTGCAGCTGTGACCTGGCCAGCCTCCTCCACCACAGCACCTCCCTACCCTACCCCTCCAGGATTAGCTTTATGGGTTGAGCATTTCCTTGGCAAGTGCTCCTTTCCTGACCTCCCTCCCCCCTTATCAGAGCATCTACAACCCCCACCTCAACCTTATCACTCCCTCCATCTCCTTAGACTGGAAGTCCCTAGGCTTTGGAGACCATTACCACCCACACTGCTTCAACCCCCTGGTGAGGCAGAAAAATGTCCCACAAGGTGACCCCTCCCCACTCCCTGGGTGAGATTCCTCCATGTCTCAGGCACCTCCTCTTCCTTTCCATATTTATTTTCCTTTCAAGTCTTGTCCTTTTTTAAAGGTTATTTTGTCCATCCCTCCCTCATTCTCTGGAGCAGAGTTCTCTTGCTTAATAGCAAAAGAAGGGGGCAATCCCCGTTCCTGAAGACTCCAAAGGGGAGGGTCCATGGCATATCCCTACCTGAGTCTCTCACGTCTTTACAACTAAAAGTTTTCCAAGAAACCACAAGATCTGGAGAGTTATTTAGTGGGAGCTGAATCCCAGCACCAAAGTCAGTTCCAGCATTGCCTCTAGCCCTAGAATTTGGGGTGATCACACTCCTTCTCTGTGCTCTGTCTTCTTATTCAGAAAACATGACTTGGGCCTTATTCCCACTGATTTCCAGGTCCACTAAGTGATTACACTTAATAACACTGATATGCATCTTTGAAAACAATCAGAGTGATAAATAGGAGCTATTATATAATATAATAATCTAACTCTATCTTATCATTACTTGTTCCTCCTGCTGTCTCATTCTTGGAAAGAAGTCCAAGATTTCTTTGTCCTCTGCTTGGTTACTTCAATTCAACCTCCAGAGACACACAGGACCCCATCTGGGAAAAAAGAGTGCTTGTGGGAGGGGTCTTCTGTAATTTGGATCCCTGGGTACCTGAGAGTTGGGCTCCTCCAGGGCTCAGAAACTGGCAGGGGAGGAGGAGTTCTCATGGGGAAGAGTGGCTTGAACAGGGTTGGGGCAGAAACCCTCTTTTGAGGTGGGTCAGTACAGAAATGACTGAGGGACTGAGATCACTGGGGTGGGGCTCAGAGAAGCAAGCCCTCAGGTTCTTTGAGCCCATCCATGGAAGGAGAAATAACAGTTGGTGAGCACTTATGACAGGTGGTGCTTCACATACACCTTCATGTGACAGTGTAATTGCTATCCCTGCTTAAGAGGTTAGAAGAGTGAGGCTCAGAATGCTGACCTGAACTTGTAAAGGTAAGATCCTGGATTTAAACCAGGATCTGCCTGATTCCTGAGTTGGAGTTCTTTATTCCCTCCCCTCTTGCATCCTGCTTCCTGCACACCTCCTGTGTGGGACCTTCAGGACTCTATCTTTGCTCCTTCTCCAAATTCCTGGGCTCCACCCTCAGCCTCTCAGGTCTCAGCTGCCCAGCCCACTGCCATGAACCAAGAAGTTTCCTTCCCTCCCCCTCCCTGCTCCTGGCCACTCTGTGCCCCCAGGCTCAGCTCTGCTGAAGGGCTCCTCCCATCTGTCTCTCCAGCAGGATAGTCAGTCCTTCACTGCATGTGCACATACTCATATCCCACAAGTCACACAGGAGACATACTCACTTGGGTCCTGAACCTGTCTTTTCCTCAGTTTCTGCCATCCTAGACTTGTTCTTTTTACCAGATTCCCATTACCTACCAGTGTCTGCATGAAGATATGGGGGCAAAATGGCCTTGGATCCAACTCCAGAAGCTTCTTACTGGGTTGATTGATCAAGACTGGGACCAGCACCTGGATCAACTCCACATGCTGCAACAAAAGAGGTATGCTCAAAGAGTGCTGGTGCTCTACACATTGATCTTAAACCATCTGATCCACAGTGCTGTTTCCTTGATAGACCACCTAGAACTCAGTGCCAGGCGGTCAGATATACTCTTCCAAGCCCCACTCCTCCATTATAATATGCCCCTCTCAGTTACAGCAGAAGGTAGACATTGAGCCATATAGGAAGACCTAGAGAGTAGATTGTAAAAGCCCAGACAGGGAAAGAATTATAGCTAAGGCTCAAACTTCTTGCCTCATGAAAGGGGCGTTTAAGGGTGTCAAAAGAGACCAGAGAGAAGAGCAAGTTACTGGGGAGCGGGTTGCTGGGGAAGAGATCAGATTCTATAGACTTTGAAGTACCTTTTGTTTACATGACTTGGTGGAAGAAAGAGCAAGGAGCTACATCAGAATGAAAGTTGATTGTCTTGGAAAGGGGGAGAAGAGATTTGTTTGTGTAATGCATGGAGGTGACCCGCTGAAGAAGGTAACCCAGGTGATACTGTAGAGTTTTGAGTTCAGTTGAGCTTTTCATTGAGGGTACTGCATGTGGTGCATGCAAGGTCCTAAGAACACAGAGATCGGATGAAGAGCAGCCTAGGGAGGGGGTGGGGACCCTCTTGGAGGGACCCTCTTGCAGGCAAGACTTGGTCTCTGAGTGTTTGCAGGACTTGTTTCCTGCAAAGAGCTGGCTGGGGGTTGAGGTGAGCAGACAGCCACGTTTGTTGCAGGGCTTCCCCGGTGTGTCAGAAGAGTCTTGTGCTTGGTTCAATGCCCTGCTGTCCCTGTCTTGAAATTCTTGATAAGTCTGAAAAAGTAGTCTTGCATTTGCATTTTACTCTGAGCCCTCACCAGCAAGGCACTTTGCTTATCACTAACCTCTACCCCATGCACTGCAATGGGACTTTGGCCTCTCCACTTCCTGATTCAGAATAGTACTAGGGTGGTCTCTGAGAAAGCTGGCTTCTGGATCTCCCCTCTGCAAAGGGGCAGTGGGACCTATGGATGGGAGGGCCAAGGGCATTTGTATAGTGACCTTAGGACAGTGGGTGAGCTCTGAAATTCAGCCCTGGCCACTGTGGACTGGCCAGGGACACATAGTTCACAGAGACTGAGAGCAGGATGACATAGGGCAGGAGCTGACCACTCACACTGCAAGTGTTTCCTGGGAACATTACTTGGGTTAAAAAAAACTGCTGCTTTAGCTAGAAAACTTTCCTTTGTGGTGCCTGGAGCCACTGGAAGAGAAAGATTTTGGGGTTGGGGGGCTTCAGAAGAACCAGTAGTTAGTCTGTCTATATCCTGCTCTCTCCCATGACCCTCAACCTGCCAGACCTTGTATTTGCCTTTGGAGCCAATATTACCTTGTTTAGAAGGACAGGCTTTGGCTTTATCTCCTGTTCAGTTCAGATCCAGGCAGAGGCAAAGGCAAAGATTAATCCCCAGATTGGGGTGGGGGTTAATCTTGTCCTGTAGGGTGACAAGACAAGTCCAGTGCAGTGCTCACTCTTCTTATAAACAAGGTGTTTGGAGCCTGGCATTTAAGGGAAAATTGCAAGAGGAATGCATGGCCCACACCCCACCCAAACAGGGATGTGTTTCTAAACAGCCCAAAGGAGAGATTAGGACTTGAGTAGCTCATGAACGCCACAGATTTTGTAAATCCTAACAGCTGATCTGGTCATCTTTCACTATTCTGGTCTCTAAAACCCCCTTGGCTATAGAGAGCAGGTTCAGCAGGCCTGGGAGCCTGGGGAATCCTATGGAAATAACCCATCCTCCACCAGCTTTCTGACCATTTATTCAACTTAGATGAAGTAGTCTAGGCCTGAGGACCACTTCTCAGGGCCACCCCGACCACCTGTTCCAAACATCAGGCCCTTCTCTCTTAAGAATTGCTCCTTCTAGTAACACTCTCCCCACCGCTGAGCCAAAGGCCACACACAGCCTTGTCTTGCTTAGGAGGAATTAACATGATAAGAAACTCATGGGAAGCCAGGGGCCCCTTGAGACACACTCTTGCCCCATTTCCTTGATTTTGGCAGACAACTCGAGTGACAAAGTCGTTTTGTTACTGCACATTTTGTCTTAGAGAATGTCTGTGTCCCTTCTACTAATGGCTTCTCTGTGGTGGTCCCTACCTGACTCTTAATCATCTTCTTCCAGAATATGGGAGTCTCCACTGCTTTGTGCAGCCAAGGAAAATGACCTGTGTGCCCTTAAGAGACTTCTGCTGGACCAGAACTGTGACTTTCGGCAAAGAGGTGAGATCAGAGTTTAATGGGATAGAGGCAGAAACAGAAAAACACCCTCTACCCCAGGACTTGAAGGACTTTTGAAAAGGTACTTTGGAGATGTCTCTGGAGCTAGGAGCCTCTTCGTAAAGGACTATTGCAAGTGTTTGTCATTCTTGTCTTATTCCACTCCAGGAGCTCTGGGGGAGACAGCACTGCATGTAGCAGCTCTCTATGACAACTTGGAGGCCTCCGTGCTATTGATGGAGGCTGCCCCAGATCTGGTCACAGAGTCAACTGTGTGTGAGCCATTTATTGGTGAGGGGACTGCTTAGTAATTCAAGTGGAAAGCAGGTATGGGAGGGTTGACTGTCATTTATAAAACAGGCCTGTGAAGGGTGGGCATGGAAAAACAATGGTCAAGAAGAGCTCCCATCAGTTGGAAGAAATCTAGGAGACTTGGCTTTGGCTTTTAGCATCCATGTCTTTCATTAACCTTTCTGTATTTCCTTTCCATCCTTCATGGTCCCTGAAGACATATCTCTCTCTCTTCTAGCAACATTAGGATGGTTATATGTATGCCTCAGTCCTCAATAAGTGGGAGGTAGGTGGGGATAATGTGTTGGGCTACAGAGATGCTAATGGTCCTTATTGGCTCTTCTGTGGAGCCTGGAGAAGTTTCTGTGAGGAGCTGTCAGGGAATTCTGTAGGGGATGTTGTGTCTGAGGTGTTATGTCCCTGAGAGAATTGGAGAAGTGACAGACCTGTGACTCATGACTCTCTGGGCCAGGTCAGACTGCACTGCACATTGCTGTCATGAACCAGAATGTGAACCTGGTACGCGCCCTGCTCACCATGGGGCTAGTGTCTCTGCCAGAGCTACAGGCTCTGCCTTTCACCTCAGCCCCCACAACCTCATCTACTATGGTAAGAGCCAAGGCCAAGGTGGGAGTAAGGGGAGGTAGAAAGCTGGGCAGAGGCAAAGGAGGGCCTAGCCTTCAGCTTCATCTGTCAGGAAGTTGGGAGGGGCGACCCTTATAGGACTTAAGGCCAGAGGTCAAATCCCCCCCATGACCCTCTGCACAATCCTTTCCTCCAGTTCTGCTGACTAGTGTCCCCAAACCCTAAGCTGAGATGTGGGAGGAGGAGACAGTCACCTGGGTGAGAATACTCCTCTCTTCTTATAATCCTGCCATGGACCCCTCTGTGTTGGCAGGGGAGCACCCTTTGTCCTTTGCAGCCTGTGTGGGCAGTGAGGAGATTGTGCGGCTGCTCATTGAGCATGGAGCTGACATCCGGGCCCAGGACTCCCTGGGTAAGAGCTGGGATGGGGAGAGGTCACACTGGATGTGACTGGGGTGTGAGGGGAGGAGCTGATTCAGGCCAACCCAGGGTGGGAGTGGGACCATGAAGAACTTTCTTTAGACCTGTGTCCACATGGCAGCCCCTGTCCTCCCCCAGGAAACACAGTGCTTCACATCCTCATCCTGCAACCCAACAAAACCTTTGCCTGCCAGATGTACAACCTACTGCTGTCCTATGATGGTGGGGACCATCTGCAGTCCCTGGAGCTTGTGCCCAATCACCAGGGACTCACTCCCTTCAAGCTGGCAGGCGTGGAGGGCAACACTGTGGTGAGGAGCCTTCTCTCCAAACTCCCCAAATGGGAGGTAGTCCCTTATTTCCTACTGCATCACTAAATCTTCTACCTCAGTTTCCCTTACTTAGAAATATATGAGACTTTCATCTTAGTATAGGTACCGTAATAACTCCAGGTCCTGCTTCCTTTTCCTGTACTCTTCTTTCAGAGCTTTCTGGGGTTTGTGGGAAGGAAAGATGCAAGAAAAAAAAGATTCATATAAGCAGAAGATTTCCAATTCTCCACTGTCTATTGATTCCAAGGAGTGGACGACTGGCCTGGTCTGCCGGTACTGTTTTCTTAGACACTGTCATTCATATAGTGACCTTCTGATACCTCCTGTGTTCCCTCAGATGTTCCAACACCTGATGCAGAAGCGGAAGCACATCCAGTGGACATACGGGCCACTGACCTCCACCCTCTACGACCTCACAGAGATTGACTCCTGGGGAGAGGAATTGTCTTTTCTGGAGCTTGTAGTTTCCTCTAAGAAGCGGGAGGTATAGATGTCAACAAAGGTCAGGGACCTTCATGTGAGGGACTTAGTGTTCACACAGAGCTTGTCCATCTGCTGAGATCCTGGGATCAAGACTTACATTAGGAAGAGAAGCATGGTCTCCTGGGAACTGTGGGGTAAAGGCCAGTCAATACTTATCCCTTGAGAACACTCACCCTCTGCTTAGCTCTAGAACATCTTGTGTAACTCATTCTAAACTTTCAAATGAGGAATTATCCAAATTAGAGTTGTTTCCTTCCTCCCTCCGTCTTTCCCTCCTGTTGTGTCCCGAGCACTACACAAGGAATTAGAAGCACAGAATTTGATAAAAGACATTTTAGTCAGTCATCTTCCTCAATTTCTGGTCTCTGTACTCAAAAATTGCAATAGAGTACAGCATATACTTTAATAGGTGTGTGTTACTGTGTACAGGGGTGGCAAATGGAAGGGGCATCAACTTGCCTTGGAAGGGCCAAAGAAATTACATAGAAAATGCTCTCATTGGGTCTTCAAGGAGGAGTTGGGAGTCACTGGGAAGATGAGGAAAAAAAAAAGGAGCTGTCTTGGGAGGAAACAGCACACAGATCCTTCAGACATACTGGATTGAATGATAAGAAGGATAGGAAATCTTGCTGAGAACTGTGGAAGAAAAGTGAAAGTACTAGCTGGGGGTAGTGGGCACATGTCTAAACCTAGCATTCATGAAGCTGAGGCAGGAGGATCATGAGTTCAGGGCTAGCCTAGGCTACATAGTGAGACTGTCTCAATAAACAACAAAACAACAAAAAGAAAAAGGAAAATAGAAAATGTCTCTGCCTTTCAGGAACCTCTGAGATACTGGCAAAATAGACTTTTTGATTGATTATCTGCTACTTGACAATTTCCTAAGCACCATGAAGAGTTATACAGCATGGGAGATTGTTAATTCTAATGAGAAGAAGAAAGGTTGAATAGCTAGACTGTGTGATTGTCTTCAGAGAAGAATCCTGGAAACACATGAGTTTTGACCAGTTTTTATTTGGAATGAAAACCCCAATTGCTCCGTGTGGATTTTGCTAGTGAGCGTCCTTGGTCTTTGATATCAGGTGGTTCTCAGTATTCTTCTGTGTGGTTTATGCACCTTGCGCCAGCTGCTTCTTTCTTCCCTAACACTGCCTATCTAGCCTCCCTTCGTATTCCGTGCTGCCTCCATCCTTAGTTCCATTAGCAGAACCAGACTTCTACCTTGTGACAAAATTAGTCTCTCTGGCTGGGGCTCCTCCACCTTCTTGCCCTGAACTGTCAAGCATGTCTGTAAACTGCCTACTATGTCTCTCCTTCCCTTCCTGCTTCAATGGGAAAAACAATATTTCTGCTGATGATCAATCTCTTTAGCTCTGCTTTGAATTTGCCTCTTCTAATTTCTTAGATGCCTCATCCCCCCATCCTCCTCTCTCATTTGTATCTTAACCCCTTATTGTCTATTATCTGAGCACATTCCCATCTGGTTTAGACTATTGCTGAATCCTACTATTAGGTGTACTGCTTAGACTTTCCAAATGCTTTCCATTACATTCCAAAAAAAATTCAAACTCTCTACCTTGGCATCCATGGTGCACAACAATCTGGTTTTCACCCATTATAACTTCTGTCAACTAATCCCAACAGTTTCTCCTGTATTCCCAACAGCATCTCATTTACAAATGGGCAATGACTCCTTATATTTTCATGCCCTGTTGACTGCTGCTACTTCCTGGAATGATTTTTCCTAAATCTCCCTTCACTCAACTAGCTACTAAGCATCTGTCAAAGCCTAAGTGGCACTATATACCTCATGTTTACTTCTGAAATAATTTCTCTCTAGTTTCAGCACAAAGCCTAGCATACAGTAAAAAGTGACTAATTGTTTGTCAAAGAAACAAGTGACTAGTTAATGAATGATGGTGATGATGGTTACTGCTCTGCCCCTCTAGAACACCATGGGAACTCAACACTCCTCATTCTTGGTCACCCATGTTATACTCTCCTTCCATGGCAGGCTCGCCAGATCCTAGAACAAACCCCAGTGAAGGAGCTGGTGAGCCTCAAGTGGAAGAAATATGGGCGGCCCTACTTCTGCCTCCTAGGTGCCTTGTACATTCTCTACATGATCTGCTTCACCATGTGCTGCATCTACCGCCCCCTCAAGTTCCGTGATGGCAACCATACAAATTCTCGAGATAACACCATCCTCCAACAGAAACTACTACAGGTGATTGTTCTCCAAAGGGACAAAAAGGGACTAGTAGAATGGGGTGATGGTGCTGAAGACCTGACTGATATTATCCAGGAAAGATACTTGCCCCCAGGCTACAAAAGTTGTAGGCTCCTTGATCACTAAGGTAGGAAGTAGGTATGAGAGATAAGGAGGCTGGAGATGGAGCTAATGAGTTAAGGAGTATTTATCCAGGGACCTGTAGATTTTATCACAAAAAGTTTGAAAAGGAGTGCTCAGTACTAGTAACTTTGTACTTTTTGGAAAATTTTTGTAAAATTTCTTATAATTTCTAGACAAGGCCAGCTCTTTTTTTTTTCAGTACTGGTGTTTGAACTCAGGGCCTCCAGCTTACTAGGCAAGAGCTCTACCACTTGAGCTAGACTCCAGTCATTTTTGCTTTATTTTTCAGATAGGGTCTAATGCTTCTTGCATAGCTGGGACATCATAGACATGGTCATGATGCCTGGCTTGTGTTGAGATAGGATTTCACTAACTTTTTGCCCAGGGATGGCATTGAACTGTAATCTACCCATTCTCCATCTCCTCAGTAGCTGGGATTATAGACATGAGCCATTGCAACCAGCCCCAAGACAACAATTTTGTCATGGGATGCTCAAGGGAAACCTTGCTGTTCTAAGGAAGGAAAATTGTGCTCCAAGTCAGCCCTTTTGGCCTGCATTCCCCTCTGTGTATTATCAAGATGAATACATGAGCAATAATAGGTCAGCTGTCTGGCCACCTTTTACAGACGGTACAGAAGGATGCTTGGAATGGGTGGTGGGAAGGAGTAAATCATCTCTGAGGTCTTTTTACTGCTGTGGGCCTGCCATTCTGTGGTGTCCTTCAGAGACCTGGGGTTGTGAGAAGGGCTAATCAGAGATATATAGTAGACGTAAAATTATGTTGTTGAGGAAAGCAAACATCTTCCTTGGGTGTCACTTTCAAACACATATATTCAACCAGTATAGCAATATTTGGGGGATCAATTCATGGATTACTAAAATTTTGTCTTGGTGGGCTAAAAATAGTCCAAACAGGATGTGTGCATATGGACATAAAGGAAAAGAGAGGGGAAGAAAAATTTTTGTGAGCAAGTAAGACCTAGGTGATTGTCGATTTATGCTCTATGCAGAATAGAGTAGCCTTTGGACTAGTTCTCCATGGTCTAAGAAAGGGGGTAGTTTGGGTTAGAAATAAAACACAAACTTCTGGCAGTCAAGAAGCAAAAACCCTAAGCTGGGTTAGGCAAAGACAGTATGCAGAGAAAGAACAGGGCAAGTGTGGTAGACACTCCTTTTATCCCATTTCTATCTCTGTCTCTGTCTGTCTTTCATACTTTCTGTCTGTCTCTTCTCTCCCTATTTCCTCAGATGTGTTCTTTCCCACCCTTCCTTTGTCTCACACTTAAGTGGAGACATGTGTAATATAGATAATGTTCTGCCCTGAGAGTTGGTGATGCAGACCAATTAATTACAACTAAGTTCCTTTCTGTATGTCTCCTTCTCTTTAGGGCAGGACTAATTATGTATAAGCATGTTCCTTTGGCCCAGATAGTCTAAAGATTCCTTTCCTTTACCTCAGGACTAGGAGAACTGTAATTATAGCTATGTACCCCTATCTGTTCTTTTTTCTCTGCTCTTCCTTCTTTCTTCCTCCTTAGTATTTTACCCTTTTGGTTTCGGCTTAGGTCAAAACCACTTTGGCTCAAAGAGAAGTCTGTTGACATTTAAAGTTTTTTATTGGTGGGAGATAGGGATTAAAAGTGTTGAGAAGCTGCAGTAAAGGGTCTAGACAGCAAAGAACGTCAATGAAAAGTCCTTATTCTTTGGTGTTAATCTTTGACCCTGGCCCTGAGTTTATGGAATATCTGTATTCTTTTTTTTATTTGTTTATTCATATGTGCATACATTGTTCGGGCCATTTATCTGTATTCTTTAGTTAGTAGCAAGTGAGTTTGGATTAGAACAGTGGCTCCCAAACTTAATACCATGATTTGAAAGAGTTTTGCTTTCACATTACACCAAATTTGTTAGATAGTAGGAAATTCTCTTTTTTCTACATTTTTTTGTTACTCAAAAGTCTTAGAAATATAAAATTATGCAAATATGGTATCTTGACTTGATGAATGCATTTGTTGACCAATATTAGTTAATGGAACTTTTTCTTAAATAAATCAATACTTTTATAGCAAATTATATAAATAAGTCTGGAAGCACAAGGCTGTCAGTCACTCTAGGATTTCCTCTGTGAATATTTTAGGATTTGGAGAAATCAAATGCTGACTATAAAGATCCCTTTTAGCTTATGAAATATAAGCACAGTCCAGCAGTAACATCTCAGAACATTTGAAATGAAAGAAAGCAAACTACTCTCTTTACATGAGGAAGAACAAGCTACACAAAAGCTGACCCATGTAAGGATTGAATTAGTTTATCTCTATCCATTTTGAGGGATGTCTTAGTGACAAGATGCTTCATTGTTCAGCCATAAAAGGGACGGGAACGAACTGCGGCCCAACGCGCGATAGGCGTTATCGGCAGTGGCGGCGAAGATCGACATATTCGAGTCGTCGTCCCTACGGATCAAACGAAGCTATAGTCTATGCCACAGCAGCTACCGACGCGAGAGAACAGGCCCTCACATAAGGGGCGGA